GGGGGGTGGGGGCGGGGAGGTCTGCTTATGAGCTTCCACTGGGGAGAATCGCAAACAAGTTCTGCAGCAATGAGTCTGGGAGCCTCCACCCCCACCCAACTCTGTATCCCCAAGACCCTTTGTTTCAAAATGAGAAGAGCACAGAAGCGGGTTCCAAGACCACCCCTCCTTACGGCAAAGGCAAACCCGGAGTCCTTGGTGACGCCCCAGAGCCAGGGGAAGACGAAGGAGCGCCGGCGGCGGCGGGCGGCCAGCCCAGCCCACCAGAGGGGTCCGTCCTCCCACGACACCCTGAGGGCATCAGACACGTCGTAATCTTCCAGTTCCCGGAAAACCTACAGGCAAGCGGGGCGTGGGGGTCAGTCAGCTAAGGGTTTCTTTCCAGCCCAAGCTGGCTCTCACGGGCCTGGCGTGCTCCCGTCTCAACCTCCGTTCACACACATCACTGAAGACAAGCCTAGGGGACAGGCACTGGTGGTGGTAAACACAATGTAAAGGGAGCCCTTTAAGACGGAGCCGGAGCGGTCACGCCAGAGGAACTGAACTGCCTTGCACGACGTATGCCTCCAACATTTGGAATGTGAAAACCAGGCAAAATAACCTGTGGTCGAGGCCTAAAGCAACACTGTGCCCCCAAGAACTGTTTGCAAAGGTAACAAGAAAGCAGTTATTATAACTACTAGGCTGAAAAGATTTAAAAACCGTCTAGAATTAGCATCACTACGTTATGTTACCTGCACCAACAGAAATGCCTTCCTCCTACTGATGTAATTATTCCCCTTCCCTTTCCCGTAAACACCCTTTGCCTTTGTCCCCTAACCGGACACCATTTGGGCTTCTACCGGAATCAGTGAGTCCCTAGTAGCTCTTCTGATTGATCTAGAAAAAATGCTTGTTGCCTCTCACTTTGAAATTCCTCCTATTTTTAGGTTGGTAGTGGCACTGGCCCATTTTAAAGATGGGCAGACTGAGGCCGGAGAGGTGAGACCTGGACAAAGGTCTTCTGAATTTGACTCCAAGATCTTTCAACCGCACAGAAGCAGCGACAAAGGGTGGGTTCGCTGAGGAATGAGCCCCACGGAGAGAGGGTACGTGGGTTCACACCGGGCTCTTCACTTGCTGACAAGCAAGCAACCCCTGGGGAGGTACAGGAAGCCGGCACTCACCTGGGCGGGAGTCAGCCGGAAACCAGACCTCAGCAGGTAGACGCTCTTATCAACCACGGCGACACACATGCAGCTGCCCCTGGCAGCCTTGACCCGCAGGTCCACAACCTCCCCGGGCTGGGTCTCATTCACCGAATACGTCAGTGAAACCTGGACCCAAACACAGCAGAGAAATCAGGAGCTTGGCCCAAACCTCCCAAACCGCCCCCTCACCCTCTCCCACCTTGGTCCTCGCTAGCCCAGCCATCCAGGTGAGGACTCAAGGGGAAGGCAGAGTGAGAGGAACTAAGCTGGTGCAACTGGGACATTCTGTGCACAGGATGGGAGGGTGGGCCTGGGAGACAGGCGCTGGCCGAGGGCGTGTTGCGGCCAGGTGTGAAGGGGGCGGGGAGAGGGCAGGCTGAGCCTGCTGTTGGGGCATAAGCCGTGTCCCTCAGGTCGGAGCCCAGTGGGTAGAGAACAGCTTTTCCCTGTGTGTGCTGAATGCAAATCCCCACCTGGGTGACTTCTGGAGAAGCTCCAGCTACGATGCAACTTAGGTTCTGGTTATTCCTGAAGGCAGGGCAGCCCTTACAAGTCCTGCTTGTGGCGCCACCATGTGGCAGCTGTGCACAGCCCACCCCGCATTGACACCCCGGGGTTCCCAGCCCTGGATGGCGATTGACACCCTGGGGTCCCCCTACCCCCACCCCGTTGGGATCCCGATGTCCTACCTGGTTTTCAAAGAAAGTCTCCACAGTGAACTGGACGCTGTCGGCAACCCCTTCTCCATTCTCCCTGACATAGAAGACCAGCAGGCGGCCGAGGGGGACCATGCTGGGGGTCACGGCCAGTTGGAGAGAGGTCATGCATACACTGAGCTCAGCTGCTGGGGCTGGCGGGGGCTCTAAGACAAGTCAAAGGTGGGAGAGGTGGGGGAGCCAGCACTCCACGGCAGGCCCCCCAATTCCCAGGCTGCACAGCGCAGGGAGGGGCTGGCTCAGGCCCAGTGCTCCGGGAGGGGAGGGAAGCCAAGCCCCAGAGGACGAAGGTGAACAGTGCCTAGAGCCCCACTCGGGCCAGCAGCTCTCACCCAGGGCGATGCTGCCCCCTAGGGGCCATTCGGCAATGTCTAGGGACATTTGTGGTCACAACTTGGAGGTGCTACTGGCATCTAGTGAGTGGGGCTGGCATACTGATCAACACCCTACAGTGCACAGGGCAGAGAAAGCTCCGCCCTCAACACCAGCAGGGCCAAGGGTGAGGAAGTGACAGCATGGGAGAGGAGACCCTGTCTTCCTGTCTGTCTATGAATCTCAGGCGGCCGAGGGGGACCATGCTGGGGGTCACGGCCAGTTGGAGAGAGGTCATGCATACACTGAGCTCAGCTGCTGGGGCTGGCGGGGGCTCTAAGACAAGTCAAAGGTGGGAGAGGTGGGGGAGCCAGCACTCCACGGCAGGCCCCCCAATTCCCAGGCTGCACAGCGCAGGGAGGGGCTGGCTCAGGCCCAGTGCTCCCGGAGGGGAGGGAAGCCAAGCCCCAGAGGACGAAGGTGAACAGTGCCTAGACTAGAACCTCACTCAGGCCAGCAGCTCTCACCCAGGGCGATGCTGCCCCCTAGGGGCCATTCGGCAATGTCTAGGGACATTTGTGGTCACAACTTGGAGGTGCTACTGGCATCTAGTGAGTGGGGCTGGCATACTGATCAACACCCTACAGTGCACAGGGCAGAGAAAGCTCCGCCCTCAACACCAGCAGGGCCAAGGGTGAGGAAGTGACTTAGCATGGGAGAGGAGACCTTGTCTTCCTGTCTGTCTATCTATGAATCTATGCATCTATCTACCCATGAGTCTGTCTATCTATCTATATCTATTTATCTACCAATCCACAAATCAATTTGTCTACCTACCTATCTATCTATAAGTCTATCTATCCATGAATCTATGTATCTATTTATGAATCAATCTATCCATGAGTCAGTCAGTCTGTCTAGCTGGCTGTTTGGGTATCTATCCATCCATTCATCTATCCATCCATCCATCATGCTTTTCTCTTCCCTTCCATCTTTCCATACATCCATCTGTCTGTCCTTCTATTCACCCATCCATTCCTCCATCATCTGTCTATCTGTCTATCTATCTATCCATCCATCTATAAATCTATCCACCTATCTCAGGGATTCTCACGCAAGGTGACTTTTCTCCCTAGGGACACTGGTGATGTCCAGGATTGTTAGGTTGTCACTGCGTGTGGATGGGTTGTTACTGACATCTGGTGGGGGGAGACCAGGGATGTTGTTTCGGACCCTACGGTGCCCAGGACATCCCACCACGAGGATGACTCGCCCTCGAGCTCCCATAGTCCCCACTTTGGAGATCCTGCTTTAGGCAAAAGGGCTGTGAAAAGGAGGAAGCCCCTGGGACAGCGGTGGGTCTCGTGAGGAGCACATGGAGTCAAGGAGAAGAAAAAAAACAGGACTCCCAGGTGCGGCAACAACCTGGGCAAAGGCTGAAGGGCGCTGGCAGGAGGCACCATAGCAGGGTGTGGGCCAGTGCAGGGCCCCGCCTACTGCCACCTGCCCCATCCCCTGCAGACACACAGTAAGGACCTCTCCACCTGGAGCCGCTGGCCACCCTGCCATCCTGGCCCCAGCCCCGTCTCACTAGGGACACGTGCCCTGCGCCCAGAGGCAGGCTCGCCTCTTGGCTGTGTCTGGTTACCCCTTCTCTCCGGGGCACCTGTCCCAGTCTCCACGGCCGAGGAGGAGGAACGGGACTTCCAGCCTGCAGCCAGCTCACCTGTCTCCGAAAGGTGTGTTAAGCGAATCGGCTTCTCCAGGGCTGCCCGCCTGCTTCTCTGCTGGGTGACGCGGGCAGGCTGCTGGCCAGAGAGCACGATGTTGCCCCGTGCGGCCACCTCGTAGTGCAGGGTGAGATTGCAGGCACACGTGGACGTCACGGAAAAACGGGCTTCTTCCCCAACCTGCGGGAAATGGACGGCGTGGCTGGCCCTGCTGGTACCCACAGCCTGGCACCACCGTCACGGCCCACCCTGGGAGACGGCCGCCCTGGGGCGACGGGGGGCTGGGAAGGCTAAGGGAGGAGTGCTGGCCTTAGGGCGGGTCACCCGTGTCCAGTCCTGGCTGTGGCCATGTCCGCCTGGCAGCCTCACTGCTGCCCTACAAACGGGGCTCTCGTGCACTGAAATGCCATCCTGGGAGCTCTCCGTGAGGCGTCGGGTAGTAAAGATTTAACTTGGGCCCTAGCTGGCTTGGCTCAGTGGATAGAGCGTCAGCCTGCTGACTGAAGGGTCCCAGGTTTGATTCCAGCCAAGGGCACATGCCTGGGTTGTGGGCTAGATTCCCAGTGGGGGGCGTGCGGGAGGCAACCAATCAATGATTCTCCCTCATCATTGATGTTTCTAACTCTCTCTCCTTCTCCCTTCCTCTCTGAAATCAATAAAAGTATATTTTAAAAAAGATTTAACTTGGTCCAAAGAGAGGGCTGGCGTTCGCCCTCAGCTCCTAACAGGGGATCTCCACGCCCCTGAGGTGTCCTGCCGAATACGTGTCTTCGCTGACCTACGGTCTTGGGCCACACCAGCGTCACCTCTGGAGGGGCTGGGACTGAGGCCAGCCATGCAGTGGCCAGCTGTGTCTATGAAACTGACCCCCCATCAAAACTCTGGATGCTGAGGCTCAGATGAGCGTCCTGGTGGGCAGGACACCAGGCACGTGGTCATACATTTTTGCTGGGAACGTAACACAGTCTGTGACCCTGTGGGGAGAGGACGATGGAAGCTCACCTTCAGGATGATCCTGGACCCTGCCTCTTCCTGGGCTGATTTTTTAAAATATATTTTATTGATTTTTTACAGAGAGGAAGGGAGAGGGATAGAGAGTTAGAAACATCGATCAGCTGCCTCCTGCACACCCCCTAACTGAGGATGTGCCCGCAACCAAGGTACGTGCCCTTGACCAGAATCAAACCAGGGACCCTTCAGGCCTCAGGCTGCCGCTCTATCCACTGAGCCAAACCGGTTAGGGCTGAGCTGGTTTTAATCTATATCTTTCACTGTAATAAACCATAACTGTGAGCGTAACAGCTGGGAGTGAGCCTGTGAACTCCTCCTTGAAACTGAAAAACCTGAGGATAGTCTGGGGACCCCCAAACTTTGCAGTTGGTGTCAGGAGAGGGGGAGTCTTGGGGCATCTCCCTAACTGAGCAGGTGCCAGTGCTGGCAGTGGGCTGGCCCTTCTCATCGCACATAGGCATTCGATCCGAGGAAAACCCCATCGCTGGAGGGACGGGGGCTCCAACACCGGCATCAGCACTGGCCCTGCAGGGCCGTGTGCAGGCCCTGGAGGCACTGGAACAGGCCCACCGGAAGCCTTACCTGCAGGGGGCGGGCGGGCGGCTGCAGCTGCAGGTAGCACTGGCTTGGGGAGTACCAGCTGCTGAGAGACAGGTAGCTGGGCAGGTACTGGGTCCCCACAGGCTTTCCATTGAGTGCCGTCACCTTGGCCTGAGGAGGAGAGAGTGCTTGGTCAAGGCCTGGGTGCCTGGAGTAGGAAGGGAATCTTGGGGATGCGTCTGCCTGTCCAGCCGTGTAGCAAGACCCTCTCAGGCTCCAATTTCCCCTTTGGGGAACCCCCTCCCCGATTCTCAGTCAACAGCATTTAGTGTGGCTAGCGCCTGTTCTTCCCAGCTCTGTGGGAAACACGTGTCCAAGACTGGCCACTGGGTGTTGGGGGTTGGCTAGGTTGCCCACTTGGCCACTGGGTGACAGTTCCACCACCTAGTAGGGAACGCCACCCCTCCCAGGCTCGTCAGCAGCCAGGTGGCTTCTAAAGGGAATCAGCTGCATGAGAAGTGAGCAGGGGAGAGGGCAGTGAGGGGAGGGCCCGTTGTGCATTCCAGGGGCTCTGGACCCGCCCCGCCTGCAGCTCACGGCCCTTCTCCTGCCTGCCCCAGGTCCTGGTGGATACACCACTATTGCTCCTCAAGGGTTGGCACCTTTACTGGGTGCTAAAAGAATGTGGCTAACACAAGGGCGACCTCAGAGGGGGCAGTTTAAGACCTATGTGTGGTGCAATACACAGATCTTGGAACACAGAACCCTATATGTTCATGTTGATCAATGTCACTCCAATCAATTTGATAAAAATGAAAATACTCATGTGTGATAAAGAATAAAGACGTCGGCAGCTTCTGTCCAGCGCCTGGGAAGTAGCCTCCAGCCCCCTGGAACGTCCCGAGTGCTGTGAGCTCGTGGTGCCTGGAGGGCCCTGATAACATGTGCTAATGCGACCACTCGGGATGGGAACAGCCACACCAGAAAGACCAACCAGTGATCAGAGGGTTGGGGATCTGAGCCACGTGATCTCAGCCTGACCTCCAGGGGGGGGGAGGTAGCGGGGGACTTAGCTGAGTCTTAGGGCCCATGGTTCAATCAGTGGCACCTACATCATGAGACCCCAACAAAATCCGTGGACACCAAAGTATAAGTGAGCATCCCTGGTTGGCTGTTCTTTGTGTCTGTCATTCCATGTGGGTGAGCCAGGGTCCCGACTCCATGGCGATGGCACAAGAAGCTTCAAATTTGGGACCCTCCCTGCTCTCGCCCTATGATCTCTCTCTTTGCTTTATCCTAACTTGTATTATCCATAATAGCACGTAATATGCTAATTAGACCAGATGACCTTCCGGACAAAGCCGGGGCTGCGGGGGTAGCCCGGGTCCCGGGTGCCTGCCAATGGCCATAGGGAAGCCGGTGCCGGCAGGAGCCGGGGGAAGGAAGGCCTACTATTGCACGAATTTCATGCATCGGGCCTTTAGTTCTATTATAATAAAACTGTAATGGCCAAAGGTACGAACTTCTAGTTACAAACTAAAGTCCTAGGGATGTAATGTGTATCATGGTGACTATAGTTAACAATTGTGTATTATATATTTAAAAGTTGCTGAGAGAGTAAATCTTACAAGTAGTTCTTCTCACAAGAAAAAAATTGAAGGTGTGTGTGGTGATGGATGTTAGCTAGACTTACTGTAGTGGTCATTTCATAATGTGTACGTATATTGAATCACTGTTATACATCAGAAGCTGATATAATGTTATATGTCAATTATATCTCAATAAAAATAATCAGATAGTGTTTACAATTGGCTCTGCTTTAAAAAAAGAAAAGAAAGAAAGACTTTTTCCTAAGCAGCATTTGGTAATAGAATAGAATATCTTTCCAGTGAAGTAACATTTTTGGAAAAAGCTAATTTTTTTTATTAGTTCTAAGTTGAGGATAGTTTTTCCATTGATTTTTAGAGAAAGTGGGAGGGAGGCGGGAGGGAGAGATGGAGAGAAAGAGAGAGAGAAACATCAATGTGAGAGAGACACATCTATTGGTTGCCTCCTGTATGCTCCTTGACCCAGGCCAGGGATCGAACCTGCAACCGAGGTACATGTCCCTGATCAGGAATCGAACCAGTGACCCTTCAGTGTGCGGGCCAATGCTTTCACCACTGAGCATACCAGCCATGGGGAAATATATACTAGTAGCTATGAGAGAAAATTATTTGGCTAATTCTGATATTTGAGTCATTTGGGGGCTTTGCAGCTACTTACTTGCTAAAGGACTAATGGAAATAAAGGAATGTCTTTCAATTATTAAAAGTAAAAAACAGCCCTGGCCGGTGTTTCTCAGTGGTTAGAGCGTTGGCCAGTGCGCCAAGGGTCATGAGTTCGATTCCTGGTCAGGGATATGTAGCTGGGTTGCAGGTTCAATCCCTAGCCCTGGTCAGGGTGTATGCAGGAGGCAACCAATTGATGTGTCTTTCCCACCTCTCTCTCTCTTCAGGACTATGAGAAAATGCAATTATCAAGGCACTATTTGTTCTCACAATAAATTAAGAGTGTATTTGGAGAGAAGACATGAAACAAAGACCCCCTTCTTTTCTCCCTTAAACTCTGTCTAAAAACCAATGGAAAAAAATATCCTCATGTGAGGATTAACAAATAAACAAACAAACAAGCTTGTAGTTGTCAGATAGTGGGCAGCAGGAACAGCCAGTTGGTAAAAAGTGTGAGTGACCTGGGGACCCCCAGGCTTGTGTCTTTGGTGCTTTAAAATCTTTAAGGATGTGTTGGCTTCAGGGGACACAAGTGTCTTCAGCTTCCACCTACATATTTACTCTCAGCTACCCCCTGTCCTCACCATCCTAGTGTCATGGGGTCGTCACAGAGACGGGACCCCCTCTTCCATCTCTCCTGCTCTTCCCTCCTCTACCCATCGGGCACCAAGTCCTACTGATTCTACCTCAACAGCTCAGGCTTGGTGCCCTCTCATCATCTCTCATGTGCCCACCTGGGGTGCCCCCGCCACCTCCCACTACGGGCACTGGAGCAGCTGCTGGGGGTTAAAATTCAAATCACTCTGCCCCCTGACACTACCTTCTGGGTAAGCCCCAAGCACCCCTGGGAGGTGGGGGTTAGCTCCGCTGGCTCCCTCCTCCATATCTTTCTGAAATGGCTCAGCCTGGATGGGTACTTGCAGGACCCAATTGCACTATGGCGGTCCTCTGGGCTTCTGCGTATATTGTTCTGCCTCCCAGAAGCAGCCTCCCGCCTCATCCTGGGACAGCCGAGTTATCTGTTCCCACGCTGGGTCCCCCATCAGACTGAACTCCCTCGGGGGAGGGGGCATCCCAGGCCCACTGAGACCATGCCTGCTGGCTGAATGACTAGGGTCCGGGGACTCACCCACCTCCAGCCACACATGCTGGGCAGATGAGGGGATGGAGGGGATTTCAAACGTCACCAGCCCTCCCTGGGATACGGATTCCGTGGTGTAGATGTTGTCCTTTGGGGTCAGCTCTGCCCTGATCTGGACCGTCACCCCCTCGGCCGGGCTGCCATCTGGGTAGGTCAGCTCCACCTGGAAGGGGTCACCGAAGAGTCAATGTTGTTTAGGTGTTAGGGTGGCAACACTCCCCAAAATGATCTAGACGTGACCTGATTCCCATGGGAACCCCAGCCAGCTTCTCTGCAAAAATAGACAAGCTGATGATAAAATTCACAAGGAATTACAGGCGGCTCCAAGTAGCCAAAGCAACTCTGATAAAGAACAAAGGAGAGCCCTAACCGGTTTGGCTCAGTGGATAGAATGTTGGCCTGTGAACTGAAGGGTCCCAGGTTCGATTCCTGGGCATGTACCTTCATTGTGGGCACATCCCCAGTAGTGGGTGTGCAGGAGGCAGCTGATCGATGTTTCTCTCTCATCAATGTTTCTAACTCTCTATCCCTCTCCCTTCCTCTCTGTAAAAAAAATCAATAAAATATATATTTTTTTAAAAAGAACAAAGAGAACTCACACTGCAATCAAGTCACTACAAAGCTATACTAATCCAGTGAGTGGTGGTATTGGCATGAGGATAGACATGGAGACCAAGGGGACAGAGCTGAGCGTCTAGAAATGAACCCACATATCTACTACAACCAAAGGATCTTCGACAAGGGCGCCAAGACCATTCAGTGAGGAGAGGTATCGTTTCTTCAACAAACGGTGCTGGGACCACTGGCTCCCCATGTGCAAAAGAATAAAGTGGGACCCCTCCCTCCCATCCTACGTAAAAGGTAACTCAAAGTGGATCCCAGACCGAAATGTAAGAGCTGAAACGACAAAACGCTCAGAAGCAAACAGGGAAAAAACCTCACGGCCCTGGACTTGGCAAAGCAGACACAAGATGCAATCAGCCCGTGCCAGCTGCTGGCCTCATGCCACATCAGATACCCACAGGGCGGGCACTGCTGGGACCGTTCCTCCTGACTCCCCGACTTCACTCGTGCAGGAGGGCAGAACATGCGACGAGAATGAGGGGCTCAGGAGACATGCATGTTGTGAAAGAAGCATGGCCGGGGGCCCGGAGCAGCCCTGGAGCAGCCCTTTGACTGGGCAGGGATTTGGTGCTGGGGTGACGGGGGCTTCAGCCTGTGTGATTCCCATGAACAGCTCTGTTCCCTAACCCAGATGGGGAGCAATTTCCCAGCTGTACGTGAAATGTTCCCCTTTTCCTGAATGGACACCCCCAGCCCCTTCTGCATGCATGTTCTGGCCATGCATGTGGTACTTTGGCTTCTCCTCCAGCCGGGACCCTGCAATCAAGGGGCACAGGAGCCGTGTCTCCATGCGTGGGACATGGAGGCAGAGATCCTGGCACAAAGAGAGAAGGGTGGCCCCAACGCGGAGCAAGAGGGGGACACAGTGTGAGGACAGACCACCACGATCCTGTGGGTGACTCCGGAAGGCAAGAGGGCACAGGGCTATGGGTGGTGGGTAGAGAAAGGGGTCAGAGACAGGCCAGGTGACATCAGGCCCTGCTGGTCCCAGCGCTTACCATCCCCACGTAGGACAGACCCGGCTTGAACTGCTTCCTGGTGGCCTTGGAGTAGCGGATGTCCACCAGCTGCTTCTGGACGGGGGTGGAATCGTCAAAGGCCACTTGCTGGCTCCCATCCGTGGTGGTCACAGAGGCCCAGATGCTGACTGTGCCCCGGAAGTGCTCAGGGATGACAGTCGGGATCATGTCCCTCACGCAGATGTGAAAGTCCTGGGAGCCGTGAATCTGGAGGCAGGAGACAGGCAGGCTGTGCTCGCTTGGGGCTGGAGTGGCTTCGAGGGAGGACTTGCAAGCACACATCTCAGGTATAGGGCTCTCCAGCCACCTGTAGGGCCAGGGGACCCTCGGCGACACACGCAGTCGATGCTGTGGGCACTGCGAGGGGATGGACCCCTGCTGGGTATGCAGCTGTCCCTGTCCGCTCTGCTGGGCAGAAGGTGAGGCAGTGGCCCTCCAGCCAGACGGCAGGGCAGGGATCCGAACCTGGCCAGCCCCACTCTGGTGCACTCACTCCCCTCCTGCTCCCGGAGCACAGAACTGCCCCCAGGCAGCCCTCGTCTTAGGAACCACCAGGGCCTGGCCAATGCACATTCAGAAACATCTGTGGAGTTAACTACTCAGTAATGAGAGAATTAAGGAGGCCCCCAGCCAGCAGCCTCCAGGGAGAACAAAGGGGACAGAGAGAAGCTTTGGGTGGGGGTGGGGACCATGATCATAGCCCAGTTGAGGCCGATGCCTACAGGGTTCAGGGTGGGGAACCCCATGAAGGCACAGGCTCTCCAGGATGTGTGTGGAGGGACACACTCACAAACATACAGAACAATAAACACCAGATTATAAAACTTGACATACCCAGGAATGGGAAATTTTGCAGCCACTGTGGAAGAACAGTCTGGAATTTCTCAAATGGCAAAACACAGAGTCACCGTTGAGAGAGGGAACAAACAGACCTTGACCAGACTGTGTAGGCAGTGATGGCGAACCTTTTGAGCTCGGTGTGTCAGCATTTGGAAAAACCCTAACTTAACTCTGGTGCCATGTCACATATAGAAATTTTTTTGATATTTGCAACCATAGTAAAACAAAGATGTATATTTTTGATATTTATTTTATATATTTAAATGCCATTTAACAAAGAAAAATCAACCAAAAAAATGAGTTCACGCGTCACCTCTGACACACGTGTCATAGGTTCGCCGTCACTGGTGTAGGAAGAACACTGACCCAGTCGGCAGTCACCAGCCCAGGAAGCCAGCCTCTCCTTTCCAGGTCAGACTTCTTGCGTGAAGTCAGACCGCTCTCTCTAGCAACCAAACAACAGTGGACCCCCAACGGCCAGGACTTTCTTAATAACTGACAATTTCCCTGATTTTTGCCCCCACTTCCAACTCAGGACCAACTGGAGAAAGCCAAGGGTGTCTCAGTAGCTGCCCTCAGCTTCTCTGGGCCACCAGCCTCTACTGGGGCACACCTGACACCCCCTTCTCTTTTTTTCACTGTAAAGCTTTCCCACATCTCCCCCTGCCACTGAGTCTCTGCCAAACACCACTGATGGCTGATTCCCTTGCCATAGCAGGCTTTGTCCTTATT